GTAATATATTGTATTTTTACTATTTTAGTAATATATTGTATAATGTATTTTTAGTATTTTCATTATTGTAATAGTTATTATTATTTCTTATTGGTAGAAGGCAATGTTAACTTAGACTTCTTTGTTTTGCTGTCTGTATGGTAATTTTCTTAAGTCAATAATAAAAAAAAAGAATTGGAAGGACTCCGGGCACCATCCAGACAGAGCCCCAAACCTACAACAATATTATATGTGGCTCCCATTCAGTTTAATAGGCCTTCTCCAAGAAAATGCCCCAGTGGATTGCGCTTTTATCCTTGGGGAATAAGGCAGGTAAGACCCGAAGTTTCAGGCACATTCCCACTTGGCGCTCCTCGCATAGACTGGGCCCCTCTCTGAGTTTGTTCTCTTTGCAGGCTGAAGGTGGAGACCCCGTATCTCCCAGCTGTCGAAATAGCCATGCGATCCAATGATTCCTTCAACATCCATCTCAGTGTGCAATTCGGGATCTACTTTGAATAGTGAGTTCCTTGTTAGCATCTCCATTTTGGGAAAAAGCCTCGAGGAACAAGAGTATAGAAACTCTCTGTAAGTCTGTGGAATTTGGGAGAAGGAGGTACCCAACAATCTGTTCCTTAAGGATGCAGGATTCCATCCTCTCAGCTCAAAGGGGCTCCAAACAGTCTGAGCAACTTTAAATGCCTTGCCATTGATCTCTGCAAACTAATCTAGGAACCTTTGTTTGCTGAAGACTGAGGCAGAAATATTCCAAATTAATGTGTAAGTGTAGGGACATTCATTTCTAGCTCCCACCCCCTCATGCCCAGTATGTTTGTAATTTAGGCTGATATTACCTACATTGTGCTACTTCACCAGTGATAAGCCCCAACTGGTGTCTTATGCAAAATGATTAATACAAGGTTGTCTTTTGGTTTATAGTAATGTTCTACTGGAATTTGATTTGAACATACAAAAAAGTTTTTAAAATCACTAAATTAGAAAAATAAAAATCAAGCATTCTCCCCTTTTGTAAGATTTTTGTCTTGAATATATATATATATATATATATATATATATATATATATCTCACCTATGCTTTACTGGGTTGCTTATCTTGCCCAGACCTTAGAGACAGTGGCTTCTCCATCTTATATTATTTATCCTAATGAACTAAGTGCAATAAATGAGAAATCTAATATATAAAAAGCAAGTGAGATTTTGTGCCATTTGGATGGAAACCTCCAAAGCTGCAGACTAAAATCAATGGAAAACCAAGACAAGCATGATGTTGCGCTTTTAATTCTGTTGGGAGCCACCCAGAGTGGCTGGGGAAACCCAGCCAGATGGGTGGGGTATAAATTATTATTATTATTATTATTATTAATAATAATAATAATCAAGTAATGAGTGGAACATTATCGCCAGCTTCAAGGAAAGGCTGTCTTTTGGCCCAGATTCTTGGGAGTTCTGGGCTTGGGTTGGGAAAGTTCAAATCCCTAATTGGCCCTGAAGTTCAAGATGATGGACAGCCATCCGTCAGGGATTCCTTAGCTGTCCTTCCTGCATTGCAGCGCTGGACGCTTGGGTTTCCTTCTATGATTCCTACATTTTGTCTCTCAGGCTATGCTCACCAGGCTTCTGCAAGGCTAAAACTATTATCACTCTGAGTCTCCAAGTTGCAATAAATTATCTCTTTCCTTTTCCCCGGATGCCTTCAGCAAAGACGTTGAGATTCAAGTGACAAAGAATTTCTCCGCTGTTGCTAATGGAAGCAGCGATGGATTCCGCCTCCAGAGCTGCCACTCCTGTGCTGGGATATCGCACATCAAAACCTGGTACAAGTAAATATCCATCTGAGAGCATGGACCAGATTCTGGGGCAGGGAAAGGAGGGACACAGACATATTGGCACGAAACGGGAGTCCTCTCCAGGCATTTTGCTGAAGGGTTAGTCTGCAAACATTATGTCTCAAGGCAGCTTGAATCTGCACCCTGCTGAGGTTTTCCTGGGTATGGAATAGCCCTGCTAGTAAATCCTACCCAATTTCCCATGGGAAATGGAGGGCCATTGCAACCAGTTCAACCAGTGCCGGATTTACGTATAAGCTAAACAAGCTATAGCTTAGGGCCCCACTCTCTCGGGGGCTCCCCAAAAAATTAAAGGGGAAAAAACCTGGATGTACATTTCCAAAATCTAAGATAGAAAACAAATAAAATAAAACCTACCTACAGCAACAGTGTTTTGTGCTGTGTCAGTTCCTATAATGTAATGGGCCCCGCCTGCCAGCCTACTCCCTAAAAACAGTGACAATTTGTGGTTGGCAAAGGACAGCTGGACATATAAAGAGCCCCATTACCTTCAGTGGCTTAGGGTCTCATCAAACCTAAATCCTGTGGGAATGTTCAGGGATGCAGGAGAGGATATATTGTTTGATTATATCCTTTTCCAACTTGTGTTAACAAGTTCCACAATTTAGCAGAGTAACATTCCCCTTTTTAAACTCGCAGCGGATACGTTTGCTCAGGCTTGCTAAAGCCTCTATAATAACTGTTCTGGTATTTTCCCCTTATTCCCTCATAAAAGATAAGACACGACACAGTCTTCTATAAAATTATAAAAAGGTTTACTCACACATCATTCTGTTCACAATAGGCTCCCAGAAGGCAAACTTAGCATACACCTGGAAACTATCTCATAAGGAGCCAGTCCCTCTGTCCTCTCTTGGCTGGAGGCCAAGAGAGCATCTTTGGCTAAGCAGATGTTGCTTCTTTGAAGCATGTAGTCAAAGAGAGAGAGAGAAGGCTGTCCTGCCCTGTGCTTTTTCTGTTACCTGCACAGGTGAGGCCACACCCCCCTCTAGCCACATGCAGATGAGTCTGTCCCAGTCCAGAAGGAAACAGGAAGTTTACCTGCTGGCTGGACAAACATTCCTCCAAATGTGTAAACATGTTCACTCTAGGAATGTTGTACTTGACTGCTCTTGTGTTTCACATCCCACAAATCCGGCCCTGAGTTCAACCGTAATGACTGGATGCAGAATGACTCCAACAGCTGAAACCCCTAAATACTTGCTAATACAGTGGTACCTCGGGTTACATACGCTTCAAGTTACAGACGCTTCAGGTTACAGACTCCACTAACCCAGAAATAGTACTTCGGGTTAAGAACTTTGCTTCAGGATGAGAACAGAAATTGTGCTTCGGCGGTGCGGCAGCAGCAGGAGGCCCCATTAGCTAAAGTGGTGCTTCAGGTTAAGAACAGTTTCAGGTTAAGAACGGACCTCCGGAACGAATTAAGTACTTAACGCGAGGTACCACTGTACTTGGTGCCACTGGGAATAATATCTGGAATAACAGAATTATATAACTGCAGAGTCCAAAACCACCTTATGCTTTTAAGCTGTAGTCCCAGGCCTGTCCTAAGAACTCACAAAAGGCAATTTGTCCCCCACCCATTTCTAGCATTTCATTGCATTTCACCCTCAGACTATGGTGCTTCTCCTTCATCTGTGGTACTTGGCCCTTCATTTGATTTGCAGACAACTGCTCTATTACCATTTATTTTTATTTATGTACTGCTCTATCACCGCAGGTCTCAGGGCGGTTCACAAGATAAAATCACAATATAAAAGCACGAAATACACACTCAAAATAAAAACAAAAGCAATAACCCAATAACCCCCTCCCAACACATTTAAAAAAGGCATTGGATGTTAATCAGTCAAAGACCTGGTTAAAGAGGAACTCTTATCTTCTCCCAGCTTTTCTCATTTTTGCTACTGCCTTTATTTCCCTTCAGAACTGTCAAAGCATTGAAGGAAGGCGTCACACCAATGGTGAAAAAGTCCCTGGATAAAAATCTAGTTCCTGTTTTGGACGCAAACGTAGGTCTTACCTAGAGTATTCTTGGGTGGGGTTGTATTTGAAGTATGGGATGCGGGTGGCGCTGTGGTCTAAACCACTGAGCCTCTTGGACTTGCCGATCAGAAGGTTGGTGGTTCAAATCCACAGAACGGGGAGAGCTCCTGTTGCTCTGCCCCGGTTTCTGCCAACCTAGCAGTTCGAAAGCATGCTAGTGCAAGTAGATAAATAGATACCACTGTGGCGGGAAGGTAAACGGCATTTCTGCACGCTCTGGTTTCCATCACGGTGTCCTGTTGCGCCAGAAGCAGTTTAGTCTTGCTGGCCACATGACTCGGAAAGCTGTCTGTGGACAAACGCTGGCTCCCTTGGCCTGAAAGCGAGATGAGCGCCGCAACCCCACAGTCGCCTTTGACTGGATTTAACCGTCCAGGGGTCCTTTACCTGTATTTGAAGTATTGGCTCAGAAGATCCTCTGTTGGCGCAACTTCTTGTGGCACAAGGACTGGCACACATGCGGCACAAACAGAGATGAGGAAATCTGGCAGCTCTGGTGTGAAGGAGTCTCATTGCTGTAAGCCAGAAAATAGCGTATCTCCTGAGTTTACGCCAATAAAACTCAGAAACGTGAGGAGTTAGGAGTCCAGCGTTGTTTACTGCAAAGCAATAGGTTGCAGTTGGATCGTGCTGCAAAACTGCAACCCTGCCCAGTGGTCCATAGTATTTCTAAAATTTCAAACAAAGCATTTCAATTTCCACCAATCATATACATCATTACATCATTTCATGTTTAATACACATGCGCAATAAGCACTGGCAATTTCTGCCAGTGATTCCCACCATGTTCTGCTACATTGTGTTAGTGTGCATGTTGGAGACCTGTGTTACGTGTAGCCATTTGCACCATGTAGCAACTTATGTGTATCTTTGTTATTCATGTATTACTTTTATTTCTGCCCCAGTGGGTGGGCGGCGACTTGCAAAATCATCCGTTTCATAAAGTAGCAGGCTACCATAACTTCTCTACTAAAAGCACCCTCAAGGATTTACAGGGGTACACATTATCACATTTATTGTGGCCCTTTGGACCACTGCCACATTATGACTCATTAGCAGGCACTAATTGCCCTGCTAATTGCAAAGACCACCCAAGACACCCCAATGGCCTGCAGCTCCTATGACAGCAGCCTCTGTGGCTCTGTGGCTTTTGTCTTGCAGGCCTGTGACCTCTTGCTATCGTCCCTTTCTGACTCCGATGGGTTCTTGCTGAGCCTCCAGAACCTGGGTGAGTCCCTTCCTTTTTTCTCCCTCAAGACTTTTTCTTCCAAAACAGAGAAGGGTCGAGTAGCTGCTCCTCGCCTCCACCTCCCAGGCCCCATGCTAGAAGATGCGGCGTTAGAAGGCTAATAAAATGAACCAGGAAGGAAGGGAAGCTGGTGGCAAATGGATAGTTTGCATTTGGTTAAATGTCCAATCTGCAAAATTGAAAGTGATAAATAATTTGAAACAAAACAAAATAAACATGGGGATTCATGCTGGGGTGTTTTTCACAATGGGCATCTGCAAAAAAATCAGGGAAATCTGCCTCATGGTTGTTTGGTTGAAGAAAAACAAATGAAACATTATTTTTTTACCCTAATTTATCCACATTCCATTCCACTATTGTAGATTTTGGGAAAGCCATCACTGGAAAATGTATCAAAAGGGTGTGTGCTTTTATTTTTATTGTTTTAGTTTTTTATTCGTTGCCTTTATATTCCTCCTTTTAATCCAAGGAGCACAAGCTGCCATGCATAGTTCTCTGCGTCCTCATTTAATCCCCGCAACAACCTGCAAGGTAGGACAGGTTCAGAGATGGTGACGGGCCCAAGGTCACCCAGTGAGCTTACGGCCAATGGGGATTTGAACCCGGGCCTCCCAGGTCTCCTCATGGCCAGGAGAGCTGTGTGCTCAAGGGAGACATCCTCCAGGAGTCCTGAAGCCACAACAATAAAGCCCTTTCTCCTTATCTCATTTTTGCCTTTTGTGCAGTTGACTTGTCACCTGCCGGGATCCAGTATTCTCTCCAGAGCTTCCAAATACAAGACGATGTTCTCATCCTCGACCTGGGTGTAAGTACCAAGCATTTGCCTACAGGGGATGGGATCCTGCTTCTTCAGAAAGAGATCAACGAGGGGACCTAGTAGCGCAAAGCACTGGCAACCGTTCATGGGATTTGTTAGATTTGTGTTAGCTATTACAGCCTTTCTCAACCTGTGGGTCCCAGATGTTGTTGAACTACAACTCCCATCACCCCTAGCTAGCAAGGCCAGAGTTCAGGGATGATGGGAGTTGTAGTCCAACAACATCTGGGGACCCACAGGTTGAGAACCACTGTATTATGTAATTAGAAGGAGGGACTGTATCAGTTCAGCACCAGATAGTAATCTTCTTTACGAGACCATAGATGTAAAGATTTGAGGCAATGTCCCAGGAGTCATTTGGTATCAGAACAATTGCTCAAGGAAGTTCATAGAATCGTAGAATCGTAGAGTTGGAAGGGACCCAAATGGAGCTTTGCAATGTAAGTATGTGGAACCTCAAAATCATCAGGCTTTGTCCTCCTCTGGTGGGGTGGCCTAACCTACAAATTATAGTGGTACCTTGAGTTACAAACATCTCAGGTTACAAACGCTTCAGGTTACAAACTCCACTAACCTGGAAGAGTTACCTCGAGTTGAGAACTTTGCCCCAGGATGAGAACGGAAATTGTGTGCCAGTAGCGCAGTGGCAGCAAGAGGTCCCATTATTGAAAGCATGCCTCTAGTTAAGAACAGTTTCAGTTTAAGAACGGACCTCCGGAACGAATTAAGTTCATAACTAGAGGTACCACTGTACATCCAATTCTGGCAGGAAAGGAAAGTTTCTCTTGAAGGAAATCAAAATTTAAAGAAGCCCTGTTCTAACCCCTCTGGAGGAACAATTTGGCAGGCTTAATCAACTCTGGACTGCCTCCCATGTTGGTGGATTTCATCCACTTCTGTGGAAATGGGGGGAATTATTTTTTGGTGCAAAACCTGAGTGCATACCCTTATGGTATGTCTGCCCTGGAGTCCACCATCTCTCATAGACACCTCCTCTTCACAGCTTTGTGAAGGTCTGTCATAATGCCAACATTCAAGGTCATGCATAGTGTCACAAACAAACATAGTACATCAACCACCTCCGAATATCAGTTTCTGGGGATTACAAGTGTGGTTGGTTCATCTCTTGATTTGGGGCTTAAAACAGGCATCTCATTGGCCAATGCGAGAAGAAGAGGTTAGGGGGCTAGGTGGGCCATTGGCCTGATCCAGCGAGCTCTTCCAGTTTTCTTATGTAAGCATGGTGGCTCTAGCTGGGGCATCAACAGCACTGTAAGTAACAGGGAAAGGGCCATTTGAAGACATTACTGGTGTTCAAGAGACACGTGAGAAACACACAACTCCTCCTGCGGCTGCTGCTTCCAGCTCTCTGCAGGAGAAGGAGAAGCAGACAGCAGAGTAGAAGACAGGATTGCTGACCTCTTGAAGTCTCTTCCCGCAATGCAAGATGGAGCTGTTGCGGACGTTGCCATGACAAAAAACCAGCTGGAGCAGAACTTTAACCAGCTTTTATACCCCTTTGAGCCCTTCGTTGTGGACAAAGATCACAGAATGGTGAGTAGCGTTGTCTGTTATAGCTGCATCTGGTTCCTTCCACTGCCCTTGGCCCTGTAGGGCAGGCATGTCCAACTTCCAAACGACAGCGATCTAAAAGGTAAAGGGACCCCTGACCATTAGGTCCAGTCATGGCTGACTCTGGGGTTGTGGTGCTCACCTCGCTTTACTGGCCAAGGGAGCCGGCATACAGCTTCCAGGTCATGTGGCCAGCATGACTAAGCCACTTCTGGCGAACCAGAGCAGCGCACGGAAACACTGTTTACCTTCCTGCTGGAGTGGTACCTATTTATCTACTTGCACTTTGACGTGCTTTCAAACTGCTAGGTTGGCAGGAGCTGGGACCGAGCAATGGGAGCTCACCCCGTCGTGGGGATTCGAACCACCGACCTTCTGATCGGCAAGTCCTAGGCTCTGTGGTCTAACCCACAGCACCACCCGCGTCCCTTAGACAGCGATCTACTTCCACTATAAATAAACTGGCAGTGTTCTTACCCATTGGATTGACCAGAGTTGTTGAACTTTTTTGGGAGGGAGGATGAGCAAAAATTGTTGACTGCAGACACCCCTGTTGTAGGGCAAACTCTGGGCCCATAGAAGACTTAAATACACTTTGCATCTCCTCCTCACTCAGAACTGCTTGAAATGGTTTTGAATTTCTTCTAACACTAATCCAACACATGGATGTTCTTGTTTTCAGAGGGGGTTTTAAATAGCAAGTTAGCTCATGAGATAATAAGGCCAAAGTGTGGCTCAGCCAAATGGAGATTATTTTTGTTGAGGGGAAGGACAGTCAGCAGAATGGGAAAGAATGAAAGTCCACTTCTCTGCTCTGACCTTCTCCATTGATTTCTCATTCCTGTACATCTCCCAGGGCTATTGCCTGTTGGAAAGTGTTTTGCCTGCGCTTCCAGGGGAAGTTTCTTATGATGTGAGTACATTTCATTAGTACGGCTCAGCTTTTAAACATGGTTTCCCCTTCTGAAATTTCTTTGTCTTTTTAAAAATGATTTTTAATGAAGCTTTCTCATATAAGCAAGAAATGCATAATAAGAAACCAAAACAGGCATAAGAAATCTTGTGAACTTAGTCTCGGGACTCCCTCTTGATGCTCCCACAAACAAATCAAAGCAACCAGGCAACATGAAGACAGGTAAAATGGAGAAACAGCAACCGGAAAGATCAAAGGAGGTAATTTATAAATTTTTGAGTTCAAGATCAAAAGTGTTTAGGTATAATACCAGTCTGTAATGGACGATGAGGATCTTGGGGTGTGTGGGGACAACTGCTCATTGTTGTTACAAAACAGATTCAACAAATGGAAGTTGCCATGTCTGCATTAGGATATGCGAGAACATTACAAACAGTTGGCCCAAGAGCTGCTCTTCCAGTAAAGAGTGATTTAAATTTTCCCCATCCCTTATTAAACTTTTGGTCTTCCCGATTTCTGGTTCTTCTAGGAATTTTAGCCATTTCAGCATAATCCATCAATTTATAACTTATCTTAAAGACCACTGTAAACAGCTAAAATCGTTAGTAGGATTGGAATATCACTTGTAGTTTAATGGTGAATTTGGGTGCAATGGGGAGATAAAAAAGACCTGGATTATTATAAAAGATGCAGGAGGAAATGATTAACAGTCGGACCCACAAAAGGGAGGAGAGAAGTCCAATAGATTCCTTGGAATCTAGTTTTTAATGTTGTATGCTGGATATGTGGCTGTAAAATTTCAATCTGAAAAACCAAATAAATTAATTTCTAAAAAATAAATAAAGAGTGATTTATATTTCCATTTAAACTGTGTCTCTGCAGGAGCTGAACGACTACATGGTGAACGTAACGGCTCGTGGGCCACCTAAATTCCATGGGGCCTATGGTAGTTTTTATGTGATCCATCCATTAAAGATGGAGGTGTTCAATACCAAGGAAATGGAGGTCGCCGTTTGGACTCTGACCGATGTGAGTTCCAGTCTGGGGAGTCTTCTGGAGGAGAACATTCTTGGTACATCAGCACTGTCTCCCTCCACTGAATGGACCTTCTCTTGTTTTCTCTCTCTCTTTCATGGCAGGCTTACTGTTTATCAGCTGATATTTTTATTACACACAACAAGCTGAAGCTCTCGTTAACTCTAGACAGGTAACAAACACCCTGATGCCCTATTCAGCGTCACTGCCTCTTGACGTACGTGATAGAACTTCTTGCTTGCATGTGCAGGAAGATAGAAGCAAAAGGTTGCATGCCGGTAGATGCTGCTGCTGCTGCTGTTTAATTTATATACCAATTAATTACCAGGATGGCTTCTATGTGATTTACAAGTATAAAAGCAACCAGAAAGCACACATAACTGAAGTACACACTACAACAATTCCATAAAAACAATAAAGCAAGCTAGTCAAAACAGTACAATATACTGCTTAACACCGTCGTTTCTAAGCAGTGTGCCGTAAGATTACTTCTTCTGAAATCTCAAATAAAATCAGTTAAGATAAAGACAGAAGCCCCAATTAAAATGGGGCGTTTTGCTCACGTGAGTCGAGTGGCAGAAGCCAAAGGTTACGAGTAGTTGGAGATGATGGTTTTCATCCTTAGATGGGAATAATAATGAAGTAATAATTCAAGGTCGTTAGAAAGGTGGAGAGCAAGGGGCACAGCACACAGCTCTCTTCTGCAGCAGAAGACTCTGGTCAGGGAGGAAGAGCCGACTCAGGAGGAAGAGCCGAGGGGCCCCACCGCCTCCCAGGATAGGCCACCCAAGGCACTCGCCTCACCATGCCTAGTGGTAGGAGCAGCTTTGCCCCATGTCCTACTCTCCTATATCAGGGGCAAACAGGATATAGGTCACATTTTGCAGGGCACAGGGCAGACTGGTGGGGTCAGATGGGCACTGGAAGATAGTTGTTGCTAAGAGTCCAAGCTCAGATTTTTTTTCTGGGATCTTCGGATGAAGGGTGGTATACAAATGTAATTAATTAATAGATATGGATTTTTGACCCTTGATGGGAAGCTTCAGAATCACGCACAATGCAGTTGACGGGAATCTTGTGCTAAGCCACTTCTAACAAGCATTTCCTTTTTCCTTGCAGTGGATTTCTGGACATGGAAGGCGATAACGTAAGCTCTTCCACCTATTCTAATACATTCTGTCGTATAGCAAGATCCATTTCTTTAGCCCTTTTTCGCTTGACCTCTTCAGAGTCCCTCTTCAGAGAATCACGGCAACGGCCATGATTGTGCTTAAAAGCTTCTAAGCGTCTTGCCCAAGACACTCAGCCAACTCATGGCCAAGCAGAGATTTGAACTCAGGACTTCAGAGGCTGACTTGTCTGCTCTTTCCACATTCTGAATCCTATTGTTCTAGGACCAATCAGACTGCTGCATTCTGAATCCTATTGTTCTAGAACCAATCAGACTGCTGCATTTTGGATCCTATTCAACTCAGTACATAACAGGAATGCTCTCCCTAACTACAGTATATTTACTTATTTGTTAAATTGTGTGTTTATTTGTTAAATTTATATCCCTCCACTCCTCCCAAGGAGTCCAGAGCAGCAAACGCATCTGGGATAAAAACACGTATGGCTTTGCAGGAGGGTTTTGCAGGAGGGGAAGGTGACACTCTTCCCAAGGCACCACAACTGATTAATGGGAGGGAGGGAGGTGTCAAAAGGATTGTCTATCTCTGGAGCAAAGTGCCTTGAGATGGCTCCTCATGCTGACTCTGTTGAAGCCACATGGTTTATGGTGCAGTTGGACCTGGGTGTGAGATGCCTTCCTTTCCATGCTGCTTCCTTGCATTGCTGATCGCATCTCTTCTTCTAGAGGGCCCGGCTCCACGGAGGTGCATACGACGCTGTGGAAATGCTGGAGAAAGTGCTGAACCAAGAGAGTCCTTTTCCAATGTTGGGTAAGAGTTGTGGGGTAACGAGGTGACATTGACTCAGGTACAGGCGCAGCCTTGATCACCTTTGAGGTTTCCTTCCAAGCCATCGCTTCAGCCTTAAACCACAAAGCTTGCTTGTTGGGTAGCACCGATGGCTGAACTGATGCCTTCAGCTGAGCCTCAGTTCAGCCAGGCTCTCTGGAGAAGCACCCCTTTGTGGCTGTGTAGAAGCCCTAAGATACGCGGGTGGTGCTGTGGTCTAAACCACAGAGCCTAGGGCTTGCTGCTCGGAAGGTCAGCGGTTCGACTCCCCGCAACGGGGTGAGCTCCCGTTGCTTGGTCCCTGCTCCTGCCCACCTAGCAGTTCAAAAGCACATCAAAGTGCAAGTAGATAAATAGGTACCACTCCGGTGGGAAGGTAAATGGCGTTTCCGTGAGCTGCTCTGGCTCGCCAGAAGCAGCTTAGTCATGCTGGCCACATGACCCAGAAGATGTCTGTGGACAAACGCCAGCTCCCTCGGCTTATAGAGCGAGATGAGCGCTGCAACCCCAGAGTCGTCTGCGACTGGACCTAGCGGTCAGGGGTACCTTTACTTTTACCTAGAAGCCCTAATGTCAAGGAGAGAGGAACGTGGTACTACCCGCCACTCCTCAATCTGGCCTAGTGACATGAACCAGGATGCCTTCTGTTGACCCAAATTGGTGCATGTTGTGTTTCTTCTCTCCAGATTACCTGCAGCAGGAGCTCCCCTTGCCACTGGTTCCAGACATTGGCGAAGTGATGAAGATGGAAGATACGTCCTATGATGTGAGCCTTTGGCATTTAGTCCATGGTTCAGGATGCAGGCTTTGACCGGTGCAGCCCTGGAGGGTCTTAAGAGGCAGGAATAGCCCTGGAGTGCCGCAGGGGACTTTCCACAAAGTCTCAGAGTGCAGCTCCCTGCTGCAGTTCAGCAGAGCAGGCGCTCTATGTAGGAAGCTCTGATGGCAAGGCAAACAGGCGGCAAGAGATGAGTTGTTGCGCACATGTGCAGGGGGAACCCACAGCTAGGCCAACAGCACAATTCAAAGTTTTGGTGTTGACCTTTAAAGTCCTAAATGGCCTCGGCCCAGTATACCTGAAGGAGCATCTCCACCCCTATCGTTCTGCCCAGACACTGAGGTCCAGCTCCGAGGGCCTTCTGGCGGTTCCCTCCCTGTGAGAAGCCAAGTTACAGGGAACCAGGCAGAGGGCCTTCTTGGTAGTAGCGCCTGCCCTGTGGAACGCCCTCCCTTGTCAAGGAGATAAACAACTACCTGACATTTAGAAGACATCTGAAGGCACCCCTGATCAGGGAAGTTTTTAATGTGTGACATTTTAATGTATTCTTAATCTTTGTTGGAAGCAGCCCAGAGTAGCTGGGGAAACTGTAAGCTGACACCACAGCCATACAGTTCTGTTAGCAAGCCTTTGGGGAAGGGCATCGGTGGTGGTGACTTTCCTGTTTCACCTCAGATGGCGACGCAGGGCGGGCAGTCCCTGGGGAAGGTTTAGCTAGCAAGCCTGATAGAACTGCAACTCCTGGTTGCTGCTGAAACAGGACCTGGCCCCTTCTCCTATGGAGGTCTCCAGCCTCAGCTGTCCAGGGTGCCTTTGCCTTGCCCCTGCAGAGGCCATTGCTTCAGGAGAATACCACCCCTGCACCCCAAATCTCCCCCTCTCCCTCATTTCAATAATAATAATAATAATAATTTATTATTTGTACCCCGCTCATCTGGCTGAGTTTCCCCAGCCACTCTGAGTGGCTTCCAACAAAGTATTAAAATACAGTGGTCCGTTAAACATTAAAAGCTTCCCTAAACAGGGCTGCCTTCAGATGTCTTCTAAAAGTCAGATAGCTGCTTATTTTCTTTGACATCTGGTGGGAGGGCGTTCCACAGGGTGGGTACCACCACCAAAAAGGCCCTCTACCTGGTTCCCTGTAACCTCGCTTCTTGCAGTGAGGGAACCGCCAGAAGGCCCTCGGAACTGGACCTCAGTGTCTGGGCAGAACGATGGGGGTGGAGGCGCTCCTTCAGGTATACTGGACCGAGATCTTGCTGGAAGTCATCTCCATGCAACCCTGCCCCGTGGGACTCTGCTGCCTGAGGCAGCTGCTTCCATCTGCCTCATGGGCAGCCCGGCCCTGAGCTTCACTGAGCTGAGTCACTTCATTTAAAGGAGTCCAGTCTGCTTTAACAGGCATCGACTCCAGTGGAGTCACAGAGACTGTGGTTCCCCTAGGACAGGGGACTCTTCTCAGCCAGCAAGCCACAAACCCTTGTATCTAACCTTCTGGGGAGGGGGGTTGCACATAACCAGGAGAAGGTCTAGGCATGATTAATACGCTTAACTTTATACGGTCAGCTAGTTTGCAGCCATGCAGAAGTCCAGACGTTTGGACACGCCTTCCCCCTCTAACCAGGCCAGTGAGAGGTATGGCCAGGATTCAAAGCACCCTTTAGCCCAGAGAAAAGGCCTCAGGGAGGGCATGAAGCAGGGAAGGGAAGGCTGCGGAGGCAGCAGGGAAAAGGAGGGGATCTTAGCAGGGTCTTGTGGCTCCAGGAGTCAGGGGGCAGAGGGTGGGAGCCCTCTGGGAAGGGCTCAAAAAGCAGAGTCAAAAGGAGGAGAGAAGTCTTTGGCATTGGGAGAAAACATCACACTCCGGGAGTCGGATGGGCACATTTTGAACTCTTTCTTTTTCTTCACTATAGGAATTCCTTTTGGTTTCTATAATCACAAAGTAAAGATGTCGTCTGGAGTCCTGCTTGAAAACCAAGAAGCCAGAATCGTCTCTCACCACTTCCATTCCCTTTGGGGCCATTTCCTTCAGCAGCACCAAGCAGCAGCAGAAAATGGTGCTGCCTCCAAATTTGGAAAGCCTAGGATTTCTATAGCAAAGGCCTCTCTTAGGATTTAAATTGCTTACAAGGTCTGTGTTGTGGCAAGAGGCAATGGGCAGTGCAAGGTGGGAGCCACACATGGGGTCCTGAATGCTCTTCTTGGTGAAGCAGCACCCATTGATTTGACTGGAGCTTCCTTGAAAGTGCTTTCAAGTGGTTAGTGTCCAGTGTGAAGAAACTCGTATTTCCCATTGTATCAATCCCTCTTAATGGATGAAATGAGCATGGAGGTCTCCAGATCTCCTTCGATACTCCAACCACCACTTAGCAGGTGCTTGCCCAGTTTTATAAGAATTTAAGGTCTCAGATATATAAATTAAATGTTCATAAATTTACAACGCAAACACATACATAAGTATGTAAACCACGTGTCTGAAATAGTACAGGAGAACAATCCTGAAACCATTTTGACTCTCCCAAATTGACCTCAAATGTTTCTCTGCAAGGAGGAAGGAAATGGGAAAGCCTCTCCATTGTCTTTTGCTTACCTGTCTTAAGAACGTATTTGTGTATGAATAGGGTGAGCCTGTGACCTGGATTCAGGAATTAAAGTATTTACCATCACAAAAGAATGGCCGGGCTGCCCAGGTAAAGCAACCAGTGACCATTGTCAGGTATCCTGGCAGGCAGGAATTCTGTTGTAGACCGCCTCCTTCTGTGATGTATGTATGATGTTTTGGGGGTGGTCTTGAACTACAGGGTGGGCAATTTCAAAAGTCTATAGTCTGCACACCATTGTTCTGGGTTCCTCTTCCCTCCTGCATGTGGTGAGTGAGGACCCTGTTGCAACAGTTTAATAAAGATCAGGCTTACTAGCTGCTTTGCTTCACAGTATTCTCTGATTGGCCTCTGTTATTTTCTCCTACCGATAGGGAACCCACGTAAGGACTCTATATGGGCTCTTGGGTACCCCAATAAGGGAAAAGGAGCAGGTTTTGTTTACAACACCAGCAAAATATATTGTCTACTGCTACTGCTATTGTCTCACCTCTCTTTCATCTTCTTCTTCTTCTGTGATTATGAAGGGCACAGCAACAATTAACAATAATCTGTCACCCCTAACATCAGCTTTGCTACTACATGAAGGTTTACATCAAGGAAGCCCTCTGCATTAATAAACACTTTGCTTCTCCTGCATTTGTATGGTTGTATCTTCCCATTTTTGTATCTTTCCCAGTAGTGATGTATGGAAGTGAGAGCTGGACCATAAAGAAGGCTAATCGCCGAAGAATTGATGCTTTTGAATTCTGGTGCTGGAGGAGACTCTTGAGAGTCCCATGGACTGCAAGAAGATCAAACCTCTCCATTCTTAAGGAAACCAGCCCTGAGTGCTCACTGGAAGGACAGATCCTGAAGCTGAGGCTCCAATACTTTGGCCACCTCATGAGAAGAGAAGACTCCCTGGAAAAGACCCTGATGTTGGGAAAGATGGAGGCCACAAGGAGAAGGGGACGGAGGATGAGATGGTGGGACAGTGTTCTTGAAGCTACCAGCATGAGTTTGACCAAACTGCGGGAGGCAGTGGAAGACAGGAGTGCCTGGCGTGCTCTGGTCCAGGGGGTCACGAAGAGGCGGACACGACTAAACAACTAAACAACAACAACAACATCTTTCCATTACTTCCCAAATTAGTATTCTGGTAGAGAGGGAGACCCAAATGCCTGCCAGATAAGTACTAAACTCCCAAGCACCTAAACCTGGTTCTTTATGCCTTTCTCTGCACTCTTTCATGCATGCACACGTAACTCTGGTGCCCTGGCATTTTAGATCTTGACGTCAAAAGTCAGTGCACACACCATGGGGCAAGTTACACTGGCGTAGGCTCACAGAGGGGAACTCAGGCCCTGCAAAGTTGTTCATTCCCTGGGGTTCCTCACACCGAGAAAGGAGAGGGTTGCTGTGAAGGAAGAGAAGCAAGTATTGAACCCTGAAATTTGAGGGGAATGAATTCTTCATGGTTAAGCTACTGGGGTGCTGGGATGGGGAGTAGAAATTATGCAGAGCAATGATCAAAGTAAAGGGATCTTCTGGGTACTGCCAGGGACTCCAGCTTTCTCACTGGGGAACTTGCAAATGAAATTAAATCCAGTGTGCAACTGTCTCAAAACTCAAGTCATGTTGCAGAATTAAAAGTGTTTACTGGTTTTCCTCTGTGAGTCAGCCAAAATAAGGAGGTGCCTAAATTAGGATAGAGCAGCGCTTTCTAAATTTTGCTAGTGTGTCGGCTGCAGTGTGGAGGTGTGTTGGGATCTCGCTGGACTAACCAGCCATTTTACCTTAGTACAATAACTGGTGCCACCCAGACCTTGGCAGCAGCAGGAAGGGAAAAGCTAGGCCATTTCATTTGCTATGTTGCTCCTTCCTTTGCCAAATGCATCTGCAAATGCTGCTTTTTTGAGGAAAGTTGCTTGCTTGCTGTTCCTTGAAAAGCCACCCAGCAGTCAGTCTGGCCCAATATCTCCACCTTGGCTCTGGGCCCTCCCACCTGCTGGCTGTGGGGAGACCAAAATGGGGGGTATCTCTCAGGAACTCCCTACAAATGGCGGGATGAAGGGGCTGCCCATGAAATGGGGGAGCTTTGCCTGTGCCAGCGGGACCCCCTTGGCCAAGGGCTCCTTCTCACCTGGAGGTACCTTGGGACCCCCAAGAGTCATCTAGTCAACAGGTGTGGAGAAAGTCCTCTTTTCAAGGGAGGACTAGAATTAAGGGGGGGCTGAATATGCAGACATTAATGCACAGCCGTCCTTTGAAATTTACACTCCCCCCAGTTTTTGCAGTGCAGTCCTCTGGCCAAGAAATTTGTACAAGTAGATAGATATTAAGATAAAGGGAAAATAACCTAGGAAAGCATGTTATGGGATGAGAAATTGCTTTGCAAAACTGTCCATGTTAGGAAGAATTGCACGCAACCATGTGTGTATCCGGAGAAATGTACACTGAACTGTTGATGGATTTCCCTGGGGACTTGCCCCCCCCCTCCCAGATCCCGAATGCATGGAAATGAGAAACAGAGAAATGGGCCGCAGGTTCTCTCCTTCCTCCTTCCGGCTCCGAGTCCTGCGATGCTAAGCAGCCATAACTGGGGCTGGGGCTCAGGGGCGAGATGAGGGCCAATGCACATCCTTCTCCTCAGGGACAACATTGCCCAAGCCGGGCTGCCAAGGGACTCCTTTTCCCGGCAGCGCCTGATCCTGGCCTCTCCCCTCCTCCTCTCTGGTCTCTGATAGGATTCCTGCCTTGGGATCCCTTCTAGCTCTCCTCTGGCCAGAGAAGGAAGCCTCTGAGCTTAGTCTGAGGGGAAACAGATCCCCCCATTCTGTTCTGCAGGGGAGGGACCCGCCTCGCAGGGCTGGTTTGGGCTGCCTCCGACTTCTCTGAGCAGCCCCAAACTTGGCTTTTCCGGAAGGCGGGTGGGACCACAAACCTCCCCAATCTCCTTCCATCTCGTCCAGGGAACTGGCGGCTTCCCCCACCGTCTTCAGCTTTTTATCCCAAATGTGAGGAGACATGTTTCAAGATCTGTTCCCACACTATCAGTTGCTTCAGTTCCTCCAGCGCCTGACCCTTCCTTCCCTCAGTCAGGCTCTGGAGGCCATAACATAACTGGGCATAAGTTCCCCCAGGTTTCCTCTTAATTTCTCCAAAATGTTTTCCTGCTCTGCTCAGTCGTGAGCCCCAGTCAAACTCTCCCTCATTCTTTAAAGAGTCCACAATTGGCGGTTTCCTCATCCCTCATTTCTGAGTAAATCTCCCTAAGGAGATCCTTCATTCTGGCCTCATCCAGAAGCTCTGAATTTGGTTCTCTCAAAACAGAAAGGCTTCTATATCATCTCCTTTTTGAAATTTTGTTCGTTCCACTGAGGTAACTTCCCCACTTCTCTGTGGAACCAGTCATTCTGCTCTAAGCTGTATTTTTTGCATTTCGAGATTATACATTTCCTCTTCACATTCTGCCTCTTTCTCTCCCTTTCTCTGTCAGCTGCCTGTATTTTCGCTAACTGAATCAGCTTGTTCTTGTTCTGCTTGTATTTTGACCTTTCTTTCTTTCTTTCCAATCCAAAAACAGTGGAGCTTGCTTAAGAGGGTACCAGGGGTAGGCAACCTAAGATGTGGCCCAATCGCCTTCTCAATCCGGCCCGGAAATCAGCATGTTTTTACATGAGGAGAATGTATCCTTTTATTTAAAATGCACCTCTGGGTTATTTGTGGGGCATAGGAATTCGTTCATCCCCCCCCCCCCAAAAAAAAATACAGTCCGGCCCCCCACATGGTCTGAGGGACGGTGGACCGGCCCACGGCTGAAAAAGGTTGCTGACCCCTGGTAAGACATACCCTTAGGTGCTGCAACCACAAATGTCAAAATGTGGCACAGGACACACGTCCCAAGTTCTGACCTGATGGGCTGTGTGTGTCACCTGTATTAGCCCAAGAGAAAATACATCAAAATGTGAGTTAACATTATAAAACGTCCCTCGTTCTGCAATAAGCAACCAACATTCAATACTCGGGTCAACAGCTTTTATTTTAAGAAGACATACCTTTACATAGGTGGTTTTTTTCCTATTATGTTTTTACTGTAATTTTACTGGTGTTAGCTGCCCTGAGCCCGGCTCTGGCTGGGGAGGGCGGGGTATAAATAAAATTTATTATTATTATTTATTATTAAAATTACAGGCCAATCCAGACATGCCTAGGTCATTAGTGACTTAAGTTTCTGCCAATGTTCCTACTGTCCACCGAAGGATACTGGTCGTCCCCCTGTCCCCATTCCCCCCGGTCAGACAAGTCTCTTTGGAAGACAACAGCCTTAGCTGGCCACTTAAGTCTCCTCATCAGCACAAATGCCAACCAAGCGCAGCATCAGCAAGGAAGAGCGCTGGCTGGGTCCCACCTAATGGCAGGTGTACTAGAAAACTGACGCTGCCCCCTGCCTGGCAAGGCAGAGGGGTGAGGAAGGCTGACCGACCAGGTCATTAAACTGAGCAACCCTCTTAGCAGAGTTGGGACATGCCAGGATCTGTCTCCAGTCCCAAAATTGCCTTCTGCTCCTCCCTTCCACCCACCCCTTCAGTTTGCTCCTCCAAACGCTGTGGATCCTTTCAGTGTGGTTCGGCGGAGTGGGATGCCCCTCAGCGTCTGGGAGCTGGAAGAGGAGATCTGGAAAGAAGGAAGGTGCGTATGCATGTTAGGAGGTGCCCCCGTAATAAGGAACCGGTGAGTTCACCTGCAAGATCGCCTGACCTCCAGATGCAACCACTCAACCGCTTCCATCTGTGGAACTGGCAGTGCCTGCACTTTGGAACTCCCTGCCTATTGATATCAGGCAAGACGCTTTCATTGTACAGTGGTACCTCGGGTTACAAACACTTCAGGTTACAGACTCTGCTAACTCAGAAGTAGTACCTCGGGTTAAGAACTTTGCTTCAGGATGAGAACAGAAATCGCGCAGCGGCAGTGGGAGGCCCCATTAGCTAAAGTGGTGCTTCAGGTTAAGAACAGTTTCAGGTTAAGAACGGACCTCCAGAACGAATTAAGTTCTTAACCCGAGGTGCCACTGTACTCTCTTTGGCACCCACTATAAGTCATCTTTGTTTAGACAAGCCGATGCAGACATTTAGAAAGTTGGTGAGAGATTTCGTCCGTTTTTAGCCTAGAGTTATTTTCACTTTGCTAAAAGTCTTAAATTATTGCTGCTAAAACAATAAAACTATCACTAAGAAGAATTATCTTTTCTTTTTGTAACCCGCTTGAAGGACTTTTTTAAAAAAATAAAAAATCCAATCACGCGGCGTAGACATTTTGTGAAATAAAATAAAAATCAGGCACTAGGATTTTTCTCGTGTATAGTAAACTATGGAACTCCCTCCAGCAGGCAGTGACAGTCAACTACCTGAATAGCTTTTAAAGAGGATTAGACCAGGGGTAGGCAACCTAAGGCCCGTGGGCCAGATGCGGCCCAATCGCCTTCTCAATCCGGCCCACGGACGGTCCGGGAATCAGCATGTTTTTACATGAGTAGGATGTGTCCTTTTGTTAAAATGCATCTCTGGGTTATTTGTGGGGCATAGGAATTCATTCATTTCTCCCCCCCAAAAAAAATATAGTCTGGCCCCCCACAAGGTCTGAGCGACAGTGGACCGGCCCCCTGCTGAAAAAGTTGGCTGACCCCTGGATTAGACAATTAATGGAGGGGGAGATGGCCATAGGCGGTCACTAGGCCTGATGGCTATGTTCTGCTTGTACTGTCGGAGGCAGCATGCCCTGAAATACCAGTTTCTGGGGCCCCAAGTGAGGAGAGGGGCTGCTGCCCTCCCCCCCCGACACCCCTTTTAGGGCTTCCCCCATTAGGGCATCTGGTTGGTCACTTGAGGAGGCCAGGATGCTGGACTCATTTGGCCTTGGAGCACATTTAGCTGCTACTCTCTCCTTAGGCCATTTGCTTCCACCTAGGAAAAAGCAAGGGACTGGTCAATCACCTTCACCAGGACATAATCGCCCGGCTGGACTCGGACTTTGGATCCCAAGCCGGTGCCGTCATCCACCTCCACATCTGGGAAGATCACTTTGATGTTGCCATCGTTCCGGCCACACAGGTCCAAGGCTGAGCGTTTGCTCGTCTGGGGAAGCAAGGAGGGCGTGTGTTAAAATTTATTTATTTTATTGGTTAATTAGCAACAACAACATAATGCAAACATAGCAAAGAGGGGCAAAAGATTGAAAATGTAAAGCATGAAGCATCACAGCCGAGAAGGAAAAAAGTACAAAGATACAGCACAGCTCCAATGAGATAAATCAAATATTGTTTATAAAGATTCCCTTTACAAATAATAAAGCTTTGTAAAAATAACTGTTCTCCACCTGTGAATTCCATCATGACTGAGAATAAAGCTTCTATAGAGTCTTAAACGAGCCGTCAATGAGTGATCTTTTGCTTCAATGTGTGTATAAGGAATGTAATTGTGCCATATATCAATTAAAAAGAGCATTTGAGTTCTGCCCTTCAGATACTTTTAGTTTATGGGATATCATTCCAAGAAGGGAAGCTTGCCAAACTGCTGAATACGAGCAGTCCAAATTATTAGGATTGAGGGTATTTCAGGATTTGATAGGCATTCCTGAGCCTGGAAGGAAAAAGCTTGGGCAACAGCCTTACAAATTTCCAAGTTCAGGACAGTTTAGGACAACAAAAAGATCAGGGAGATGAATGTCCCCCTTATGAAGGAAGGGGGCTTTTTCGTTTAGAAAAGACTCAAGGAAAAAGTGACATGCAGAAGTTTAAAAAATCATGCACGGAATGGAGAAAGTGGGGAAGGTTTTTCTTCCTCTCTCCTAACACTGGACCTCTTGGATATCCAATTTAGCTGAACGTTGGGAGATTTGGGACAGATAAAGTCCTTCACACAGCACAGAGTTAATCCATGGAACTCCCTGTCGCAGGAGGCAGTGATGGCCACCTTAAAAGAAGATAGGACAAATTCATGGGAAAAGCTATTAAAGCCTACTTTGGAGGCAGAGCCATGGTGGCTTGGCTCTGTCTCCACAACTGGAGGCAGTAAATGCTTCTGAATACCAGCTGCTGGAAACCGCAGGAGGGGAGAGTGGTTGAATTCTGCTTGCGTGTTTCCCATGGGGGCATCTGATCAGCCGCGGTGAGAACAGCATGCTGGACTAGATGGGTCATTGGCCTGATCCAGTGGGGTCTTCCTAGGTTCTCATGTTCCCAGCTTGATTACTGTAATGCATTCTGCAAAGGGCTGCCCTTGAAGACAGTCCCAGATACTGTAGCTAATAATAATAATAATAATAATAATAATAATAATAATAATAATTCATTTACACCCCACCCATCTGGCTGCGTTTCCCCAGCCACTCTGGGCGGCTTCCAACAGAACACTAAAATACAATAAGCTATTAAACATTAAAAGCTTCCCTAAACAGGGCTGCCTTCAGATGTCTTCTAAAAGTTTGGTAGTTATTTTTCTCTTTGACATCTGGTGGGAGGGTGTTCCACAGGGCAGGCGCCACTACCGAGAAAGCCCTCTGCCTGGTTCGCTGTAACTTGGCTTCTCGCAGCGAGGGAACTGCCAGAAGGCCCTCAGTGTCCGGGCAGAATGATGGGGGTGGAGACACACAGCAAGCTCAGCTCCTCTCCTCTCTGCTCCCCTCTTTTGATGCTAAAAGCAGACCCCCTGACACCACCACCCGCTATGTGCAGAAGAGGCAGACATGGGAGGACTAATTACAGGTAGGTAGCCATGTTGGTCTGCCGTAGTCGAAACAAAATAAAAAACAATTCCTTCCAGTAGCACCTTAGAGACCAACTCAGTTTGCTCTTGGTATGAGCTTTCGTGTGCAGGCACACTTCTTCAGATACATTGAAACAGAAGTCACCAGACCCTTATATATAGTGGGAGGGTGGGGAGGGGTCTTACTCAGAAGGGGGGTGGGAATGGGTGACTGGCTGATAGGTGTGGTAAACCTGTTGACGACTTTTAACAACTGCAATTGGTCTTACAGGAAAAAGCAAGGGGTGAGATGGCTAAAAATAGCTATATCATGTATAATGAGATAAGAATCCAATGTCTCCATTCAGACCAGGTCTCCATTGTTTTAAGTGTGGTAATAAGTTGCAATTCAGCAACTTCTCTTTCCAGTCTATTTCTGAAATTCTTTTGTAATATGACAGCTACTTTGAGATCTTGTCTAGAATGTCCTGGGAGGACTAAGACCGCTCTCTGCCTCCGCCCTCTGGACTCCTGCAGCATTTATCAAAGTGGCACTCACACTCTCTACCAAGACCACTTGCACTTGTCCCACAGCGGCTGCGTTTGCCCAGGATGCCTCCTCGCGAAAGACGGTCATGAGCTCCTTCAGCCGCCTCTGCTTCACTTCAGGAGCCACGTCATCCTGCAGGCGGTGAAACGCCCGGGTTTTCTGGGGAAACAAAGTGCCAGTGACTCGGAGGCAGAATCCCTGCACCTTGTTAAAAAGGGGTCACCTGCATTCTGCACACACCATGTTCAAAATTCTGTGGCTCTTCAAATTCTGCAATGGGAATCAGAGAATTGTAGAGTTGGAAGGGGCCAATAGAAGTTATGTCCAGATCAAGGGAAGTCATAGGCTTCAGCCTTGGTCAGACCACACCTGGAGTCCCATGTCTAGTTCTGGGCACCACAATTTTAGAAGGATGTTGACAAGCTGGAAGGTGTGCAGAGGAGGACGAATGAAATGATCAAGGGTCTAGAAACCATGCCTTATGAGTAACGGTTGAAGGAGCTGGCTACCGTATTTTTCGCTCTATTAAGATGCACCCAACCATAAGATGCAAATAGTTTTAGAGGAGAACAAGAAAAAAAATATTCTCTCCCTCTCTGCGCAGCGCCCCTTCAGCGAAGTAGCAGGAGAAAGAGAACCCCTTCCATTTCTCCTCCCACTTTTCTCCAGCAAAGCGGGAGGAGAAACGGAAGGTGCTCCGTTTCTCCTCCTGCTTTGCTGAAGGGGCGCTGCACAGCTTTCTCTCTCTGCGCAGCACCTCTTCAGCACTGAAGAGGCACTGCGCAGAGAGGGAAGCTGCACAGCAGCTCTCCAGCGAAGCGAAGTCAGAACAGCAAGAGGGATCACTGCACAGAGAAAGCAGCGATCCCTCTTGCTGTTCTGGCTTCTGGGATAGCCATGCCAAGCCTCTTCAGGGCAGGGGGAGCGCTCCTCCCGCCACGCTCAGGAGGCTTTGTGTGGCTATCCCTGAAGCCAGGAGAGCAAGAGGAATCGGTGCACACCGATCCCTCTCGCTCTCCTGGCTTCAGCAATAGCTGCACAGCCTGCATTCGCTCCATAAGACGAGCACACATTTCCTCTTACTTTTTAGAAGGGGGAATAGTGCATCTTATAGAGCAAAAAATATGGTATGTTTAGCCTGGAGGAAAGAAGACTGAGAGGTGATATGACAGCCACCTTCAAATATCTGAAGGGCTTCGTCCCAAACTGGAAATCACAAGAAATTCCTACTATTGCGGAGTGGCAGACGAAAATGACGGGTTATGCGGAGCTAGCCAAACTGACAGGAAGAATCCAAGATCAGGACAATCAGAGGTTTCAATAAAGTTGGAGCAAATTTATGGTGTATATAAAGGATAATTGTAAAACTTTAAAAACACTGGTAGGACTGAAATAGCTCTTACAATGTACAGCAGATATAAGTTTAAAAATATAATGCGCGATATAAGAAAATAAGGGATACTCGCTGAAGGGAGGGAGGTCGCAAGCTCGGCAGAGCTAAAAGTATTTAAGTGATTTATTGTATTGTATTATAAAAGTATGTATAAGGAAAACAATATTTTTTTAAAAAAACAAAACACAAATATCTGAAGGGCTGTCACATGGAAGAGGGAACAAGCTTGTTTTCTCCTGCTCTGGAGAGCGGAACCCTTTCATGTCATTTGAAATGTCAATTTTATGTCATTCCAACGCAACATTAGGAAGAACTTTCTGACTGCAAGAGCCATTCAACAGCGGAATGGATTCCCTCAGGAGGTGGTGGCCTCTCCCTCGGAGGTTGCTAAGCAGAGGATGGCTTCCATAGCTTCTTTAACTGTGATTCCTGCACTGCAGGGGGTTGGACTAAATGACCTTTGGGGGTCCCTTCCAGGATCCCCCCCCCTCCCTGGGACTTGGAGGCAGAATGTGCTTGCTTGGTCCGTTCAGTAAGGGGCTACCGTTCTCACCTCCCTCATGCTGTAAGCAAAGATGAAGGCCGTGTTGTAGCGGACCTCGCGAAGGAGGGACAGTGTCTGCTGGTGGTCGTCTTCCGTCTCCCCGCAGAAGCCAGCAATGAAGTCGCTGCTGAGAGTCACATCTGCAACATGAAGGGGACAAAGTGAGACACTCAGCGGGAATCAGAGAGAATGGGATGGTGCAGCAGGTGGAAACCAGCGAAGAACAAGGAGGTTCTTTCGGTATCAGCACACACTTATTATTTACTGAATTTACCATATTTTTCGCTCTATAAGATGCACTTTTCCCCCTTCAAAAATTAAGGGGAAATGTGTGTGCGTCTTATGGAGTGAATGCAGGCTCCTTGGCTTAAGTGATAGCAACACGAAGCCTCTGAAGGGCAGGAGAGCTCCCCCCGTGCTCCAGAGGCTTCGCGTTGCTTTCGCTGAAGCCGCCTGAAGCCCCCGGAGCGCAGCGGGAACTCCCGCTGCACTCCGGAGGCTTCAGGCAGCTATCCGCAAGCCTTCGGAGCGCAGCAGGAGTTCCCGCTGCGCTCCGAAGCCTTGTGGATAGCCGCCTGGAGAGCGAGAGGCGTCGGTGCACACCAATCCCTCTTGCTCTCCAGACTTCACTGGAGAGGCGCTACACAGTTTTCCCTCTCTGCGCAGCGCCCCTTCAGCGAAGCGGGGGTAAAATGGAAGGGGCTCCGTTTCTCCTGCCGCTTTGCTGAAGGGGCGATGAGCAGAGAGGGGGAGAATTCCCTCCCCCGTTCTCCCCCTCTAAAACAAGGTGCATCCTATGGTCCGGTGCGTCCTATAGAGCGAAAAATACAGTATATACAGTGGTACCTCAGTTTACGAACTTAATCCATTCTGGAAGTCCATTCTTAAACCGAAACCGTTCTTAAACCGAGGCGCACTTTCCCTAATGAGGCCTCCCGTTGCCAGGGCCCTTTCACCGTTCAGATTCCATTCTCAGACCAAGGTCAAGTTCGCAAACCAGACACTACTTCCGGTTTTGTGGAGTTCGTACACCGAATCGTTCGTAAACAGGACTGTTCTTAAACTGATGTACCACTGTACCGCTCTATACCTGGAGGTCTCAGGGCAGTTCACAGAACAAAATCAAAATATAAAACCAAAAAATACATAATCAAAATAAAAACAACAACCCACTTATGACCATTAAACCTCAGGAAGGAATTCCTAACTTCGCTCAGCTCTGGAATGAGGTGCCCGTCAAAACTCTCATTTTGGGGAAACCTCAGCAAGAAGAGGGCAGCCTCTCGCCCAGCCCCTTGCTCCAAGGAAAACTGTACGTGTGTCTTGAGAGCAGCGGATCAGTTCCCAGCCGCTCTATGCTTCCATCTGACAGCCTGAGAATTTGGCTGTCACATTCTTCTTGGCGTCCCTTCCCGTTCTACAAATCTACGCAATCTGTGACACCACCAGCACCATACATTTTGAGCAACCTTGTCTTTAATATCATTCTGGCCACCTGGCCTTGAACCCACCCTGCTTCTTCAGCTCCCCAATCCGGCACCCTCTCCTGGCGCTCCCTTGCCCACGAATCTCCAGTCTCTGGAAGCAGAACTATTTCCCCATCACACCAACACAGAGAAATACACCTTATGCAATGCAGCCCCGGCACTGCACTTTCACACGGGCTCACAGGTGAAGCTGAAAGACCATAAAGATGTAAGTCAAGCCAGTAGGGAAGGGGGAAGAGTAAGAATCAGCAACAACGGCTACAGGAGAAACCAACCTGGCAAAGAGTCTCGGATGAGGTGTACGAGCGCCAAGTAAGCTTCCCGGGTATATCTGGGTGGGTGAAGCAGAGAGGGCGAAGTTAGGAGGCACTGGTACCCTGTGGCATACAGATACAGACAGGCTTCATAAGAACTGCTGCTGCTGCCCAGCAAGGACTGGGATATTTTGGGGAAAGTTTTGATATAGTAGGGATATCTAAAATGTGCAAGAGCTCCGACTCACCCTCTCCTCATTGCCTCCAGGACACGGGTGCTTCCGCTCTGGACCGGGAGGTGCAGATGTTTGCAGATGTTGTGCCTCTCCTTCATGAGCTGGAAGACCTGCCGAAAACACAGCGGCCATCAGTGGACCCCAGGCTGTGGGAAACCACTTGCCCTAGTCCAGTAGGCCAGCAGAGGAAGGAGAGCCAAACTCACCTCGTCCGGGAAGTCCTTGGGGTGCGGGGAAGTGAAACGGATCCTCATTTCTGGATCGATGGCGGACACCCGGTCCAGGAGGTCCGCAAAGCGCAACCCGCCCTGCTTGGGCTTGTAGACAGAGCTGAAGCCGCGACTCAGCTGAGTTGGGGTCGCCGAGAGGAACTGGGCCTCGGAGGTGTCCCGGTAGCTATTGACGTTCTGGCCCAACAGGGTCACCTCCTTCACCCCCTGCAGAGGGAGGCAGCGGGTCATTATTGGCACAGCGGAAAGGGTGGCAGGAGAAGCCAGGAAACAAAGGCATTTTACATTGCATCCAGGCAAGCAATAAGCATCACCAGAGGTCACAGCAGCATTCCAGCCGAGGCAAAACAAAACTCAGGAATGGAGGGTGCTGGGGTGCAAAGCAGGCATGGTGAGTGTAGTGATCAGATGGGATTACTATGAGGAATTATAAAATATGCATCAGGCCATGGTGTCCGCGATGAAAGCATTGTGTTGACTGGGTTTGATTCATTGACAATAATTTCTGATCAAATCCAACAAGGTTCTACATTTATGCCATTTTTCCTCTACTGCCCATTTCTCTCTGCCTGACAGGCACGTATAAGCATTCTAGGATACAGGCCAGTTGCTGGTTGCTGCACCAGGCATCCTAGGCCATAAATTAATAGGTTTCTTGGATGTACCCTTCCTTGATTTTGTTAATCTCAGGGCCAGGAAATAGTTTTTCACATGAAGGTGATAAAGATCCCTATCTTCCTTGCCATCCTTCCTCTCATGTTTACTGCTTGTTTATGACCTCTGGGGTTGCTGAATGCATTCCTCCTTTTTAGTCCTGTTTTATTTACCCCAGAAGTATGCATGCTTAAATTAGCTTTTTGTAGTTTAACTTTGTCCCCACGTGGGGTTTGTTGAAACGCTCAGAGGAAATCTGATTGGTCCTTACGAACACTGTGTAAAAAATTCTTTTGTGAATAAAACGACCTGGGCCGAGGGGTGGAGACGAGTTATTATTATACGCACCCCTCTCAGAGTCTTACTAGTCAAGTCTCATGTGTATTCTATTAATCAGAGTCCAATCCTTCCTTGTTTTGGGAACGCTACAGTGAGGAATAAGGCTGGGCCCAGGCAGAGAGGCCTGGGGGGAGCACACCCACCCTCTGGGCCTGGAGAGCCCCATTTCTGGCTTCCAGGTCTCATCCCACCTCCCTGCCCACAATGCAGCAGGCGAGTTTTGCAGTGGGGCTGGTCACCTGGTCTGAGAGTGCTTGCACCTCCTGCAGGATGGAGGCCACTGGCCGGCTCCTCTCGCGCCCGCGGGTGAAGGGGACGATGCAGTAGGTGCACATGTTGTCGCAGCCGCGCATGATGGACCTGTGAGAGAGAGAGAGAAGTCCCCCATGGGGTGGGTAGGTAGGTGGTGGCCAGACTGGCTTCGGTTTGCTTCCAAGGCAGGGGAGTTTTTCACGGTCTCCGTTTCCCCTCCCAGGACTGAGATATACGCCAAGTCTGCCAGACCAATTTGTTGGAAGATTCAGGACAGCTAAAAGGAAGTCCTTGTTCACACAGCACAAAGTTAAGCGGTGGAACTCCCTCCCACAAGAGGCAGTGATGACCAGCAATTCGAATGCCTTTAAAAGAGGACTGGACAAATTTATGGAGGAGAGGGTATCAACAGCTATTAGCCAAGATGGCTACGCTCTGCCTCAACAGAGTCCCAGTTCCAGGAGGAGAGAGCTGGGTTCCTGCTTGCTGGCTTCCCCAGAGTCATCTGGTTGGCCCCTGTGAGACCAGGATACTGAGCTAGATGGACCACTGGCCTGATCCTGGAGGCTCTTCTTATTGTTAAATTTCCTGCTCCGTGACTGCAGTCATGGGATTGTTGTCTTTCACATGACGGTATATGTTTTGACTCCACAAAGTGGGAAGTGATGGAGATGTTTGTGTTACTGTGTTCCGTGAAGTGGGACTATTGTCCTTTGTTCTTTTTCCTCTTTGCTGTCTGATGCTAGAGAGAGAGGGAGCCATGTTGCAGTGCTCCGTGTGTTTTTATATGTAAATAAAGTAGATTAGCCAAAATGCTGAGTTGCTGAGGTCTGTTACATAAACTGCGAAGACTTTGCTGATCCCTAAGTGTGCCAATGTCTGTTGGCATCGGTCGCTGTGCTATTCAGGCAGAAGAAAGCTTTTGAAGCTCCCAAACAAATGACCAGGAGGGAGAGAACATACCAGTCAGGCATGTGTCTCTATCAGGGTCCTACTCAAGCGTAGGCTGAACTCCTGACACTTATGACACCCCTCCCCAGCTGGACAGACCAAGGCCCCTGCACAAAAAGGATGGGATCAACCTTAAATCAAATTCTATGGTCTGTTCCAATTGCAATACCTAATTTGCCTCCAAGCGACAGGGAGGAAAATCAGGATGCTTAAAAGGAGCCGTGAAGGAAAGGGTATGAGAGCCAAGATTTGACTCTGGGGAGCCTCCCGAATGTGTTTTCCCCTTTACTAATATTAATTATGGGGAAGGTTTTCAGCACCTACCAAAAACATTCCTGTTCAGCCAAGTGTACCGACATGCTTAGAAAGTTGGTGCAAATTTTAGCCTGCTTTAGTATTTAAACTTTTTGTATGTTTTAAACACGGTGGTGAATTTTTCTCAATTTTATTGTTTTATCTTTTTGTAAACCACTTTGAGCAAGTAGTGTAGATTATATGTGTGTGTAATCACCATTTATATCCCAGGATTCAAGGTGGTTTATCAAAATGACACAAATAAAACATAAGCTAAAAATATGGAAAATATAACCACTAAAAAGAAATTAAAAGCTAACAGAACTTAAACCGCATTTTTTTTAAAAAAAGCCTTCAGGAAATGCCAACTGCAATTTCTTCAGATTGTATATTCAAACATGAGGGCTAGCATCTTGATTTTTAAAATGAGGCTATTTCAGATCCAACTGCCTGCAGCCCATGGAGCTTGGCTCGTAGAAAGAAGCAGGCTCTGCAACTCAGAGGGAGGCAGATGCATGCATGAAGATGAGAGACTTGGGACCTCAAAGAGCTCTGGTCACTTTGAACAGATTCGCAACCCGTGTGCAAGAGCACTTGAACTCGCAACCCCACAGAGCCTGACCGAAGGAGCAAGCAGCCCACCCGGCACTTACACGAAGGCCGACGTGGGGCTGGTGCTGGTGTGGACAGGAAGGATGTCTGCGTAAGTTTCATCCAGGGAGAGCAGGACGTTGGCGGCTTGCTGGCCTGTTTCGGCCACTGCCAGGAGCCTGGGAAGGTCGCGGTAAGCATCAGGGCCTGCCACGACGTCGACTAACTTCTCCCGCTCCAGGATCTTCTCCTTCAGCCTCTCGGCCATGCAACCTGCAAACGGGGGAGAACTGTTTACTGCTGAATATATAGTTTGCACGTTAAGGAGATATTTTTACTGTTTTTACCATTAATTTCATTGATGCTTTTGAATTATGGTGCTGGAGGAGACTCTTGAGAGTCCCATGGACTGCAAGAAGATCAAACCTCTCCATTCTGAAGGACATCAGGCCTGAGTGCTCACTGGAAGGACAGATCCTGAAGCGGAGGCTCCAATACTTTGGCCACCTCAGGAGAAGAGAAGACTCCCTGGAAAAGACCCTGCTGTTGGGAAAGATGGAGGGCACAAGGAGAAGGGGACGACAGAGGACGAAATGGTTGGACAGTCTTCTCGAAGCTACAGACATGAGTTTGACCAAACTGTGGGAGGCAGTGGAAGACAGGAGGGCCTGTTGTGCTCTGGTCCATGGGGTCACAAAGAGTTGGACATGACTAAATGACTGGACAACAACAACAACCGTTAATTTCACTGTGTTCTAATTTATTTGTTCAATCTGTATACCACCCTTCATCTGTAGATCTCAGGGAGGTTCACAGCATAAAAATACAAGATAAAAACACAAAGTGCATAATAAAAATAAGAGCAAGAACAAAACAATAAACCCTCTCCCCCTTCATATGCCCTACCCAATGCCAATCCCCCCTGCTGTGGCGTTTCGCCTTACCTAATATCCCAATCCGTAAGGGTGCTTGCAATCGGGGCCGCTTGGACTTCAGAGCCTTGAGGTATCGTAAACGGTTCCAGATTGTCTGCTCAGCCTTCTCCCTGAGGAGCAGCAAAGGATCAGCTTTTCTGCCAGGGCTAGGAAACTATTTCTCCGAAGGACACCAACACACGTCACAATAAGCGAGGGTTACCGCTGTTGCACCCCTTTTGGAAACCAGATAATACTTCCGTACCTGATTGAACATGTGACAAGGAGAATCACATCTGCCTAATGGAAGAGAGAAGGAGAAGGGGATAAATGAAAGGGAGAAAAAATATTTCTAAAACCGGATGGGAAGCATCCGAGGCCAAATGCGCCATCTAAGTGGGACAGAACTCTAGTGCCAAACTAAAACCCTCAGACTCAGATCATTCTGTTTCAAAAAGAAAAAGCAAACTTTCTAGCCCTCAAGGTGGAAGAGAGCCATTGTTCTGGGCAACATGTGCCACGGGCTTCGAAACCGGAAAATCACAAGTGTTTCTCCAACTGCCATAAATCCCCACACTCTCAGTTCTCTGCCACAAACAACTGCGGAGGCCAAGCTTACCTCCTCCAGTCTGCTGGTCCTCAGGTAGCCACTTTTCTGGAGGATGGACCAGGCGATCTCTGTATCGTTGACATTCATCTGACAGCCATAAGTCTCCAGGTACACTGCAAGGGGTATGGAGGAGAAGAAGGAGGAGAAAAGAGTGGGTTTCTTGGGGAGGGGATCAAACAGCTCTGTCTCCCATTCCCATCACCGATTCTTGCACTGCAGGGGTATGGACCGGATAACCCATTGGCCCCTTCCAACTCTACAATTCTATGAAAACAATCAAAAACTGAACCATCAATTTATGAAACACGGCAAAGATACTTAAATGTCATCTTTACGATAACCCCATGATATGGGTGGATGGTTCTACCTGTTTTGCAGCTGGCAACTGAAATAAGACTTATCCACAGTCTTCGTCCCCAACTAATTTCTAACCAGAGAATAGAAAGCCATGCTTATTGTGCTGTATGCTGGTGTTTGAGGAAGGAAGATAATCTACCGCTATAATTGATTAGCTGTGTTCTCCAAGCAGATATCTGATTAGCCTAGCAAAAATAATGTGTTTTCGTGAGGAAGGTGTTTGTTTATGCAATAAAGATATTTAAAGCTGCAAAGCACACACAAGAGGCTGTATCTATAGAGAGAGAACTGTGGTTCAAGCATTTCTTTCCAAAGTGTTTAGGCCTAAATTATAATCTTGTAAGCATGTTTGTGATGTCTGCTGTGTGAATGCAATTCCCTTGACACATCGCACCTGAGTTTGGGAATCAAAGGGAGCATGACATTGGCAAAGGCATCAGGACTCAACTGGCCATCCCCACCTGCAGCCCACTCGAATCTCCCTCCTTTCCACACAGGTTGCAAAACCAGAATTGAGGATCTGCAATTCCAATCTCCAGAGGAATCCTCAGCTCCGGAAGGTGTGTGGTGCTGTGTGGCACGACAAAGCAAGGCAGCAACACAGACCTTTTCTTGGGGCATCTGCCAGGGTTCTGGAGCCAAGATAGGGTGCTGAGTCCTCCACTGCTTCAGCCGGCAAATGGTGAGTTTCCTGCACAGGTCCAGCGTCTTGTAGGAAATGCTGCAATGACGGCCCTGCTGCCAACTTAGCATGAAAATCTTCCAGGCCTCCCTTGCACTTTGCTTCTCTGCTGGGCACCTCAGGATCCAAGCCCCTGGTGGAAGCCCAAGCACAGGGTCCAGCCGGTTGCAGGGTCCAGCGTGGAAGCCGCCAACAGCACACCCTCAGACCTCCCACGATGCAGCTGCGTATGGACTGCATCTTCGCCTCCTGCGCCCTAAGACAACCGGCAGATTAGTGACTGCAGCAACCTTTTCCAAAGGCAGCATCAACTAAAACACAATCCAACTAGTGGAAAGCGCTGGAAAGAGCACAGACGTAAATGCAAAACATCGCATGCAACAACAGCGCATTTCTACATGAATGGAGAAGTTGTGGTTCTCCAAAGTTTCACAGCCTTCTCTGAGTGCCCCTCCAGACTGACTGGAAAAACAATAGTGTGTTAATGGTCAATTTATACATATCGTTCTGCTTTGTTCTGAGATGCTTCCCCATGTTACCAGATTATTGCCCTCTGGAGGGGCAGCCTCAAGCTACAGCTCAACAGAAGTGGGACAAAAAACAGAAGTAGCAGGCTGGAGCAAAGAAGAGTGGAAAACATTTATTGAATATGTGGAAGATGACTGTATACAGCTGAAAACGCTGGCAGCATTAAGATAAATTCAGCAGAGTAAATAATTTTTGACGGATGTAAAAGTGGAAAACTGATTTGAATGGTTATAGTAAAACACGCAGGGATGTATGATATGTAAAATGGACAGTGGAAGGAGAAAAGAAAGGGAAGTCACTGGATATTTTAAAGCTTGTAAAATGTTTTTTGGAATTGCAGAACTGAAAATTTAATAAAAAAATATTTTTTAAAAAGAAGCGGAATGGAGCCTTGGTTGCTCGGGGGTGACACTGTCCTTGCAAAGGGTCCGATCCGCTTCTCCCTGAGAAAAGCTCCAAAACTCTGCGCGTAAGCAGCCTCGCCCCAATGCCGCCCACTTGCCCCGAGCCCCACCCCGCACCCCAGGGCGAAGTGCCCCCCACAAAGTCCACTCCCAAGGGGGGCATCTGGGCTTACCTGGCAGAGGAAGGAAAGGGGCTCCAGGGGACCCGAGCTGGCAGGTGAGCGGCCCCCCAGGCTCCTGACTGCCAATCAGTCAATCAATCAATCAATCAATCAATCAATCAGCTGTCTCTCCGCCTCCGCATCCAGCCTGATCCGCCCTCCCTGCTCGCCCACGTGGCGCCTCCAGGGGACGCCGGCGCGCCGCGAAATCCTTCCCCTCGGCGTGGAAACGGCTTCCCGGCGCTGCTCCGTTCCGCCCTGGCCACGTTCCCCCGCCCGCCCGCCGCGCCTCTTCCCCGGCCGAGGCCACCCTGGGCGGCTCTGCTCGGGCGGCGCTCCGGCCCCGTCGGAGGCCCAGAGCGGCTTCCTTGCGGAGCCGGCGACGCTGCTTTCCGGTTGCAAGAGGCTGCCGCGCCTGGGGCTGCTGGGCGGGCAGGCAGAAGTTCGTCGGGTGAAGCGTCCAAATCAGCAAAATGTATTTTATTTGTACTTCCACCCTCCGTAGTTTACAGATTAAAAATATGAACATAGAGAAAAAGCAATTGAAAAGCAATCAGACATTGATGGGTATAGACAGAGATATTTGTTTATGCTTACATTATTTGCATGATTTTAATAGAAAATTCTTTTAAATTTTAATATTCTATTTAATAGAATAGTCTATTAAAATAAAATATGCTATTAAAACCATACAAATAATTACAATAAAAATAGCAGGGCACCAGCCCTTTCATCAAAACCATTCCCCCAAACCTGTTGCGTTATTATTATATAGAATCAGAATTGTACCGTTGGAAGGGACCCCTAGGGTCATCTAGTCCAACCCCCTGCAATGGAGGAATCAGAGCTGAAGAATCCATGACAGGTGACCACCCAATCTCTGCTTCAAAGCCTCCAAGGAAGGAGGAGTCCACCACCTCCTGAGGGAGTCCCTTCCACTTCTGAACAGCTCTTACCGTCAGAAACTCCCTCCTGAGGTTTAGTTAGAATCTCCTTTCTTGTAACATGAAGCCACTGATTCGAGTCCTATCCTCCAGAGCAGGAGAAAACGAGCTCAATCCCCCATTGCCGGGGGTTGGACTAGATGACCCTGGAGATCCCTTCCAACTCTACTGATTCTCTGATTCTCTGTCTTAGGCTGCAGTCCTAACCCTGCTTACCAGAGAGTAAGCGGTTCCCTCACTGCGAGAAGCCAAGCTACAGGGAACCAGACAGAGAGCCTTCTCGGTGGTGGCGCCTGCCCTGTGGAACGCCCTCCCACCAGATGTCAAGGAGAAAAACAACTACCAGACTTTTAGAGGACATCTGAAGGCAGCTCTGTTTAGGGAAGCTTTTAATGTTTGATGCATTACTGTATTTTAATGTTTTGTTGGAAGCCGCCCAGAGTGGCTGGAGAAGCCCAGCCAGATGGGTGGGGTATAAATAATAAATTATTATTATTATTATGAATTAAAACTTACTTCTGAGTAGACATGGATAGAATTGCGCTGTCAGTGTGATCATGAATGATGATGCAGTCTTCCAGATTACACAGAATTCTTCAGCGTGCAGATCAGAAAAATAACTACCCCTCCCTCACGGAAAAGGTTGGCTGTAAATGCAGTTGCTTTAAATTTGGGGGGTGAGGAACTGGTATATCTCCGGATGTTGTTGGACTACAACTCCCATCATCCTGGACCATTTATCGTGCTGGATGGGTCTGATGGTTTGAGAAGGTCTGAGGGCTTGAGACCTATTGGCGACCCTCACCTGGTTTAGCCGGCCAGTCGAATCCGTTCCCGGGATGTGGCCGCTGTTGTGTGCCAACAGCTTGTAGGAGCTTCAAGTGCAAGATGAAATTAACATTTGTTTAAAAACCTGAAGCATTGGAGATTGTAGGAAAAGACCTGCCAAGGAAGTTTAAGAACATTTTCATGTATGCGACAACGGCGGCAAGAGTCTTAATAGCACAAGGATGGAAGAATGAAGAAATCTTGACCAAAGAACTGTGGCAAGAGAAACTGATGGACTATGCGGAATTAGAGAAATTGACACACAAACTGTGTGACAAGGACAACTGTGACTTTAAAGAAGAATGGGAACCTTTTACAAAGTACTTAAAGAAACAACAAAATGAACTGGACTCCTTGGCAGGTTTGGAATAAACATGCACCTATTTATTATTAACAACATATAGATAGATAAATTAAGGTTCTTTACAATTTTATGATATGCAGAGAATTACAGGTATTGAAAAACCAGAGAGAGGAGCTGAGGGAAGTTGGGGGGGGGTTCTTTCTCGGGAGGGGGAAGGGGGAAAATAGGGGGGGGACGATATGATATGTCTTTTGATAAAATGTTATGTTGAAATTTCTAATAAAAACTTTACCCCCAAAAAAGTGTGAGATGGGGGGGGCGCAAAGGAGGCCAAATGACCCCAGGAGGAGCAGGATGTGTCCCCACCAGAGGGACCACCCTTTCCCCTAGCATCCCACACACCCCGTTGTGATAGAGGGGGCCTATAAACCAGCCAAGGGACGCGGGTGGTGTTGTGGGTTAAACCACAGAGCCTAGGACTTGCCGATCAGAAGGTCGGCGGTTCGAATCCCCGCAACAGGTGAGTTCCCGTTTCTCGGTCCCTGCTCCTGCCAACCTAGCAGTTCGAAAGCACATCAAAGTGCAAGTAGATAAATAGGTACTGCTCTGGCGGGAAGGTAAATGGCGTTTCCGTGCGCTGCTCTGGTTCGCCAGAAGCGGCTTAGTCCTGCTGGCCACATAACCCGGAAGCTGTACGCCGGCTCCCTTGGCCAGTAAAGCGAGATGAGCACCGCAACCCCAGAGTCGGCCACGACTGGACCTAATGGTCAAGGGTCCCTTTACCTTTTATAAACCAGCCACACACCCGCACTGGGTGACTGTGCGCTTGAGGTCACCCATCATATCGCACTGATGCATCGCCAAGCATTCTGCACTTCAGACATTTGCACAAACAGCATTCTTCGTTTGCGCTGAGCTTTCTGCCTCGTCCGTTTTTGAGAGGGGGCCGATCGCATCAGACCCGCGGGAAAGAGATTGCTCTCCATCATTGCAGATGGCTCCATTATTCCCCAGGAGGTTGCCAGCAGTTTATGGCTACTTTTCTGGGAAGGATATTTCTGAAGCAGAATAAATATAAATAGCAGCCCCATCCTGATGGGTGGGGGCTTCAGCAAAGGACGGGCGCTTGCCATTGATTTGAAAGCACCCCTTGTTGTGCGTGAAACATCTATCTGAGAGGCGTTGGGCAGCGTTTATTTTGCCACACTTCATAAGGGCGCTGTGATTGCCACATGCAATTGTTGGCTGAAGCAGCCAAGGGAATAAAAGGATAAACATGCCTCACGCTCCCTGTGGGGCTAGTTGGACGGTCAGGGAGATCATAGAATTTTAGAGCTGGAAGGGGTCTCCAAGGGCCATCTAGTCCAACCCCCTGCAATGCAGTGAAATAAAAAAAATTAAGATCTTATATATATAACAAATGTTTGCAAATGTACCAAGCAAACACGTACATAAATATATAAACCACATGTCTGAAGCAGTGCAGGAAAACAGCCCTGGAACCATTTTGACTCCCAAACTGACCAAATGTTTTCTCTGCAAAGTCAAAGGAAAATGGAAAAGCCTCCCCATTGTCTTTTCCTTCACAAATCCTGTCTTAAGGGTATGTCTGTGTATGAATAGGGTGAGCCTGTGATCTGGCTCAGGAACTAAGTAGTTGTCATTACAAAAGACTGGCCAGGCTCCCCAGGCAATCCAATCAAGTGAGCATTAACAGGTAACGTGCCAGACAGGAGATAAACAAGGCACTCGGATTTCTGCTGTAGACTGCCCTTTCTGTGATGTAGGTATGATGTTTCTGGGGGTGGTCTTGGACTCCAGGGAGGGCAATTTAAAATGTCTATATAAGGGCGGGTTCTTGTGTCCCTCCTAAGGGAATAAGAGCAGATTTTCGCGGGCTGCCCCTTGATACATCGCCCAGCCGTAGCCCCTAAAAGGTTTGGGGCCCATAGGCCGTGGCCCACCCTGTCTGTTTGGTGATCTGGCCTTGATTCTAAAGGATAGCTGTGTCTCAGTCCATGTACTGTTTCAGAAAGTGCAAATGTGGTCTGAATTTCTCCAGCGCCCGTCTCTGTGGTTTCGATGCCTTGGGTTTTACAGTGAATTATAATTGAGGTTTTGGAAGAAGCCTGCTGTGTGAGCCCTCTGCTTCTCACACATGTCGCAAGCCCCCCGTTCCAAAGCATATGCATCAATATTAGCTGCACATCAGAGGGTGCCGCGCATCAGCCAGCAGCGATTGTGCGCACAGAATTGTCTGTGCGAGCCCAGATGTCCCCGTGTTTACGTACAGAGTGTGGGTGTGTGTGTTTGTGTCTCTGCAAATCCCCCCACCCAGGGATTCCCACGCTAGCTCAAAGCTGCTCTCAGCTCTGGGAGAGCTTCCAAAATCTCCCTGGGTTTGCACCACGGATTTCAATCATAAATGATTATTTAACAGTTCGTCGACAGCTCTGAAAAGGCTTGGCTTCCATGGATGGCAATGGCTGCTGCGGGGATAGTCAACAAGAAATGCAGACAGGACTCTGGGAGTGCAGCCACCTCTTGGAGGAAGGAGGAAGAATCAGGGGATCCCAAGGGTCATCTAGACCAACCCCCTTCAATGGAGGAGGTGAAAGAGAAAGCAACAACCCCAGGCAACAGAAATAAGGTGACAGGAGAACTGGGGGCGAGGGGGGATCCCAAGAGCATCTGGGTAATACTGCACTGAATGCTTGGAGCTGTAAAAGGGATTTATTGAGAACCAGTGTGGTATAGAAGTTAGAGTGCTGCACTAGCACCTGGGAGAGATCAGGGTTCAAATCCCCACTCGGACATGAATCATAGAATCGTAGAATTATAGAGTTGGAAGGGACCCCGAAGGTCATTTAGTCCAACCCGCTGAAGCTCCCCGGGTGCCCTTATCTCACAGCATAACCTACATCACAGGGTTGTTGTAAGGATTAAATGAGGGGAGGGAGAACCATTTTTGCCACCTTTTGCTTTGGGGGTGGGGGATGAAAGATGGGATGCCGGTGCAAGAAATATATAATAATTAAATTGCAATAAGTTTTGAAAGACTGCTTTTAGATGCATTGGACAGCAAACAGCTGTAGAGTCCCTTTCTATTTTTGGACCTCTGGTTAAACAGAACCCCTGCTTCTCTCAGCCTGGGGCAAGCTGACCTGCACGAAGGACGCTCTGTTGTTGTTTTTTGTTCTGATGTCTCACTGGGGTCACGGAGAATTCCCCCTCCTTCCCAGGGCCCCAGGGAGCTGGCTCCTAAGAGTGCATGAATGCAGAAGCAGCCAGATCGTTTCATCAGGAAGCATAAACGCTTGTGAGGATGGAGCAATCTGGTTGGCGCCACATGGAAGCCCTCCCTGTGAGTTTGTGAGAGCGACAAGGCTCCAATTAGCCACGATCCCTGCATTGCAGAGGGCTGGACTAGATGACCCCTGCGGGTCCCTTCCAACTCTGCAATTCCATGATTAACTGCAGAGTCTGCACACCTAGAGAGAGCTGATTCTTTTCAGTACTGGCCCCGACTTGGTGGAACGCTCTGTCACAAGAGACTAGGGCCCTGCGGGACTTGACATCTTTCCGCAGGGCCTGCAAAACGGAGCTGTTCCGCCTGGCCTTTGGGCTGGACTCAGTCTGACCCTTATGTTTCCCTTCCCTTACGGTTTTGATCTATGGGCTACTTTTAAAATGAGGCTGCATTTTAAATTGCATTTTAACCTGTATTTTAAATTGGGTCCCCTCCCCCCGTTATGTTTTTATTTTAATTTTACTGGTGTTTGCCGACCTGAGCCTGGCTCTGGCTGGGGAGGGAGGGGTATAAATAAAATTTTTTATTATTATTATTATTATTATTATTATTATTATTCTGCGACTCTTGCCTCCCTAATGCTCATTTTCAGAACATCCACCCCCACCTTGCTAGTCTCTGGTGAGCTAATGAGAAGCAGAAGATTGCTGGGGGGCGGGACATGCTTGTCAGGAATGTTCCCTGTTCCTTTTCCCCACAGATCATTTCCCTTCCAGACAACCCAGGGTTCCCAGAAGTTCTGACTCCCACCAGGACACATGCTGCAACTTTGTCCCATGTTCTGGGCTGTCAGTTGCCAACTGTTCTCCGTGATGAGTGCGGAAGATGCTTTCCTGCTCCAAACAGCGCCCCGGGGGCTCTTTCTCTCTCTGCCTGCTCATTCCGCATCTGCCTTCCCAGTAAGCACCAGTGTTGCAGGAAAAACCGCCCCCCCCATCATTCAGTTTGTACAAACACAACACACACACACACACACACACACACACACACACACACTCTCACACACGATGTACGTGATGCTTCTGTTATAAATTCATAGAAAATCCCCCATATCCAGTTGGCATGACAACCTTGATGGTCCTAGACAGAAGATCATCACACTCACAAAGGAGTGGATTCAGTACTGAACTCAAACAACGGACAGCGACCAGCCCTTCCCTCTGGGGGCAGAAAACTGCAAACTCCCCTTTGTCCTCTGGAAAGTACTCACGGGGAGGGGGAAAGGAGGAACCGGACAGGTGACAAGACACTCAGGTTACCACCACAACTCCTCCCTGAACCCCTCCTCTTCGTGATGTGTCAATGATGTAGTCTTGGGGGTATAGCATGGGGGATTAGTAGCTAATAAAAGTTGGAGTCTTCTTTTGTTCAGGGCTTCCATCTTGCTTCGTCTTGCAGTGAGAGCGGGAGGCCTGTCGCAACAGTCTTCAGTAAAGACCAAGCCTACTGGCTGCTGTTTTGCTCCAATTGTCCTGGCTGGTGTCTTTGCTTTTGTCCAAGGGAGCCCTTGGATTTCTCTGTTAACACCAGCGCCTGCCACAACGTCCTCAACCAACTTCTCCCAGTCAAGGATGGATTTTCTCCTTCCACCTCGTGGCCATGCAGCCTGCAGGCAGAGGAGGACGCTGCCTGTTTTATGTGTAACGTGTGCCTGAATCTGATTTTAGATTATGGCTCAGTTCATCTTTTGTATTGCTACAGAAAATCCTGGGGTGCGGATTTGCTCCGCTGCCCATCTCATCGGGGTGCAACTCGCCACGGGTCCCTTTGGTCAGCAGAAGAAAGGAGTCCCAACCAAGAAAAGAAGCAAATCAGCAGTCGGTAGACCTGATCTTTATGTTGGGATACTGCCAGGGAGACAAAGTCCATCATGGCCCCACAAGTCGTCTCCGGACGTCCATCGATCTCCCGTAGACATGCAGTATCAGCGATTAGCGACACGAGCTCCAGAAATAGCTTGCCACATTCCAGAGCTGATGCACGCTCCATCAGCAGATAATTCACAGCGAAAGATGCACGCAGGAGAGTATTATTTACAAGTTTATTCAGCGTTGGTCAGAACAAAGAAAACATGACTGCCAGCTTCAGTGTCTCTGACACAGAGAGAGAAACGAAAGCATAGACAAAACATAAACATCCTGTGAACAGGAAATACGCAGACTCTGTGACTCACAAAGCCTGCTCCCTTTTAAGGTGGAACGGAAATATCCTAACACTTTATTTGTTGCAACAAGGTTCACACACACATGGGGTTGCACCTGCCTTTAAGTCCTCTCTTCCCTTTCCCATGATTTCCAACAGCATCAGCATCACATCACAAATATGTCACAAAGAGGGAGCGGTCCTCAGGAGGTCACCTCAGTCAACCACTGACCACTGTTAATATAATAATAATAAATTTTATTTATACCCCACCCTCCCCAGCCAGAGCCGGGCTCAGGGCGGCTAACACCAATAGAATAAAATCACAGTAAAAACATAATAGGGGGGAAAGAGAGGGAGGAAAAAAACCACAATTTAAAATACAGGCTAAAATGCAATTTAAAAT